ATAAATAGTTAAAATGGCGCGAATGTCTGTAAGATAATGTGTACAATAAAAATAAGAAAATAAGGAGCACTTACCAATAGGATATCATATGGTAGCCAACAAACGATGAATGCTATGACCACGGTTGTCATCATTTTTATCATCTATGAAAATCGAAAAAAAATGTTGACATATTTTGACGATTTTAATGTTTTAAAACTTATTACTTTTCTTATTGACTTGGCCATCTTAATATCTCTGGAGTTTTGTGCCTCGCCGGGAGGTAGTTTACCCCACACGACAATCCCAATGTGAATATTAGTAAACAACAGGACTGCAAATGGAATACAGCATTGCAGTATAAATAATGCTGCATTAAAGAGCCGCCGGAAGTATTCACTTGGCCATTTGTCAGAGCAAAAGTAAATTTCATATCTCTAACGAGTAATAAAAACCGAGTTTAGTAAATAAATTTGAATATTGTATATTATAGGTATTGGGTAGGTACATAAAATAGATAACTTCATGTTATCATGATTCACAATATTATATTTTAAACATGTATTCGAGTTAACAAACATATGTAAAAACTTGTATAAAAAAATCAACGTAAGAAATTTAATTTAATTTAATTTAAAATAAATATTTCAAAGTTATACTTGTACACAAATTATATAGGTAAAGAATATTTTAATTTAATATCGAAAATGTCTAATTAACTTTCAGAATTCGCAATATGAATTTGTTATCTAAGAGCCATTATGAATTATGATTTATGACTTTAACATGATTTATTTTTGATTGGACTGTACATTTCACAACATGCAGTAAGACGGTTAAATAGTATACAATTTGAGAAGCACAACAGTGGTTTGGAATGAGAGCAATATAGGTACTTGCACGATATTGAAAAATAATGTAATTTACAAGTGTTGTAACTTAAGTTTTTCTATAAATTATTAAAATATTCATTAATGTTAATTTATTATAAAACTTTATGTTTATTACTGTATACTTAGAAATTTTTAGTATTTTCGCATTAAGTGCATCTTTGTATCTACTTAGCATAATTTATTTAATTTAATATTTTTGTTGATTTTGATTTAAATTTTAGGTAGGTATGCTTTAAATAATATGTCAGAAACCAAATCAACAGTATTATTTCTCGAAATCAATAAAGCCCTTATGTTAGAAGATGAACTTCAAGTATCCTTGCACAAATTTAATTATTAAATACAAATTTCGTAAATAATTTGAGTAAATTAAAGTTGATGTTATAAAATAATAACATTTATTTTTGTATTCTAGAAAAAAGAAAATAYAATGAATGAACAAAAGATTAACTATATAAAAATAAATATTACCTGATCTAACGAAGTAGCAAGTAAAAAAGGAAACGATGTAATAATTGACATTGTCCAAACTATTGCTATTATGTATTTAGCCTGGTGCTTTCTTGTTCTTTGTTTCAGTGGCCACATAATTGCTATATACCTATTGACGCTGATGGCTACYAAAGTATATGCACTCACCTGTACGAAACACGACATTACAATTTGTATTGTTAATATACGAAAAATCTATAAATATAATCATGACAATATTTTGAAATGTTTTAATATACCAATAACATGCATTATGATATTTTATATTGGTCTATTATCGTATTTTTCTGTTAAATATTTTTGTAAACAATCCAATTATTTATACTTTTATTTGTTTACTTAATGTTTAACATAATATTTAACACATTCGCAGTTATTTGAAAATCTTCCGTACTAGAAATAAATTATAAATAAACATATAAAATCAGTCTAGCTGAAACTCTGACATTCACGTACAAATAGTCAAAGATAAAAATAAAATATATTATGTAAATATATACCTCCTATTTAAAAAACGATTCAAACGCGCGTTTGCTTTTATTACAGATATCACGCACATGCACACAAGTTTCATGTTCCCCCAATGCAGTAATGTGCCTATTTTGCTTATATGATGCGCCGTGTTACACAGATCTATATACCTACGCATGAAAAAAATATGACAAGAATACACAATTAAAACTTCTGTGAATATTCTGTAGTTGATTCTACGCACAACTGTGTGTTGATTTCGAGATGAAAGAAGCTTTGTGTTAATTTAACATTTAACGATAATTGGAACAATCTCTATTCGTTTCTATAGTAAAACCTATAATGATTAGGAAGGTAATGTATTAACACACAACATTAGTTTATTTTAAAATAAGCTCAGTAGGTACTGTTTATATCCTAACAAATAAAATCTGAATTTCAAAATAACCAATGGTATTCTTTATGCTTATTAAATTTTGTTGAAAAAATCTTTAAAAAGTTAAAAAATCTAAAAGAAAATTTTTTCACAAAATTTCTTAAATATTTTTCTACTAAGCTGCTCAATCGAATCATCTACTTATAATTATATTAACACTGGATAGTTTTCAACACAGACTCACGTTTTTCTTCACAAAAATATTATAAGATTACTGGTAAATGGTAATACAATATCTATATTTACTTAACCTCCCCGCTTCCCGCAAATGCAACTTACCATCACTGCGACGATTTTGCCGAATGTGAAGGTTTGGCACAAGTAGTTTTCCAGCGGCCAATACTTCAATAAGAATGAGGCGACGAACGGAAAGGGAACACAGAACAGAGTCATGACCAAGTCACCGACGGCCATGTTCACAATGAACATGTTGGTGGCCGATTGCATATGCGTTGAAGACATGACCACATAGCATACTAGCCCGTTGCCGACCAGTGATACGATGAACACTGCCGTATACATCAGGTAGACAACCGTCTGGAACCCAATCGAAATCTATAAATCGTACATAAACCAATTAAAATTTATTTTCATCAATCAGCTTAATATGTTATATAAGATYTACATATACATATTATATCATTTTATGATGAGGTAATATGTGTTTACTCGGATCCAATTTGATACTCAAATAAATAAAATAATATAGCCAACATATTTTATTTTTTCATTAGAGCTGTTCGTTGAAATTCTATACCTATCTAGGTTTACACTACATGGATTCGATGAAGAATAAAGGTTTAAAAATTAAAAATATTGGGTTATTTGGGAATCATAAAAAAAAGTTATGATATCTAGAATGTCATTTTTAAAGATATGTTTCTAAAGTTGAACCACTCCAAAATATCTTTCAGGTAATGTAAAATTATATATATTATAATATATTACATATTATCATATACGTATCAGTAGCTAGCAATATATAAATATAATATTTCGATGTGAAAATTGAAAATTTGACATGTTAAATTCGGTTTTCATACAGTTATTCAACGATGTTTTATTTAATGATTATTAAATTATATTATGTTTTTATTTTTTTAATAAATAATAAATATGAACGAAAATAAATTTTTTATCAGAATCTATTCTCATGAATTAATATTGATAATAATCACTTGAGAACTTTTTTATTCGTACAGTTATAACTTATAAACATCAGCTCATATAGGCTCTACTACAAAATATGAGCAGTTATATATACATATATACCTTATAACAGTTATATACAATTAACCATACTTCGTGCTAAATAGTATTCGTAAGATTTGTTGTAATTTTAAAACCCTATTAAATTAGTATAGAAAAATTAAACTTTAATCCATTTTCGATTAATATTTAGCATTTTTGTGATGCATTCCAGACAATATCGAAGGAAAAATAATTAATCATTATTTAGTTGATACAATTTTTAACATTGAGTCTTCCGTTTACATATATACCTACTGTTTTAATAAAAACTTAAAAACCTTTTTTCTAACAATCTATTGCAAAAAATATATTATCATACAAATGGAGCATGATATAAATTAGGATATAAATTAGGTTGGTACGCCAACTTCTAAGTACAATAATAACCCAAAAATGTAATTGACTTTATCTGTATAAGAAATTATGTTTATAAGTATATAAAATAGTATTATAGTCATAACAATTAAAATTAAATTAGCTTAATAGAAATTTTAGGTCACCGCGATAAATATAGCATAAAAAGCATAGTATTTTAATATTATTAAATAAAATAATATTTTAAGTTTTTATGGGAAATGAATGATGCCCGATTAATTATTTATATTCCATTAATGCATTATTGCAATACTATGTTCGTCTTGATTTTAAACACTTATAAAATAATAATACGAGACTGAAAATCCAGTATTTAACATAAATGTGAACAGAAAAATATTCTGATTAGAAATAAGGAAATGTCAAAATTTAAAAAAAAAATTTAATTTAAAGTTAAGCCTACTAAATTTTCAAATTATATACACAAAAAATTGACTGAAAAATGGGAGTATCGTCGAGTTTAAGGTATTTAGTGTATTATATACATAAGTAAAATTATAAACAAAAACATATTCCATTCAATATGATTAGCATTGTCATTACTCAAGTTATTTTCGTTTATTAATACTTTATCTGAGACAAATTATTAGTACACAAATATTTTTGACATGAATATCATGAAGAATATATTATACACTATGCAGCATGGTTTTCCGTTTTTATTCTATAATTACTGTGCCTTCTTGGTTTGTCACATATATTATAATGTGTAATTTATACGTTCATAAAGGCTTATCGATTCTTATAAATTGTTTTAATCTTAATTCGTACAAATCAGTACACACCACTACAACGTATTTGAATTTTATTCAAATATGACTACAACGGACTGTAAAAAAAAAATAATCATCTGTGATGGTTTTCTGCGACCTTCTCTATCACACACAKATTCCTAGTATAGTGATTCTTGCCCGCTTTAAACTCAATAATAATACGTAAAACTATATCATATTGACTTACGTCTTAATACAAAATAAATTAAAATATTATTATGGATTTGTATGCTTTATCACTCATTGCATATTTTCTATTATATTAATTTAATTTGTTAATACTTTAATAATATTTTGTATATATACACTGCTAATTTYATTATTTAGATATAATTAATATCAAATTTATATATTATATTATATACAGTAGGTATCTATCAATGAAATGAAATATACATTACTTTTCATGATTACTTACCATTTTGAAGAAACAATCGACGCAGAGAAACGACAATAGTACTAGTACACTCGGCAGACACCGTTCAAATCAAATACGACGACAAACGGAATGATATTGTAATAATTATTATTTAATATTTGCGCTCGCGGATCGGTGAACAGTGTGTGCGACACGGATAACAAGAGAGAAAACTATTATTTGAATTTCCACTAATTATTATTAATGATAACAATGTAGCACATTATTTATATTGTTATTTATTACTTTATCACAGTCTATTGACACTTATTMATTGCCCATAACCGTGTAATCACACAAATCTCATATTCTCATTCATGTCCATCATGTTATATCTTGGTATTATGCCATAGAGCGCCATCACCAAGATGCATTATTTGTGCCGAACCGAGCGATATCAAATCTTGACTCTTGTCATTCCCGGCTAGTACGTTATATGAATGTTATGATTCTRAATGGATCGACCAAGACCATTTTCCGCTTGTTCWCATACCGAAACGGTGAAACATAATAGTAGCAGTTTCATGTATGATGTATGTAATTTAATTTTTCCTTTATTCGTTGACGTACGGAAGTCATCAATGCCTATGTTCGTTCACTGTCCGCTTTTGAAGTTGCCAACTGTCTTGTAAGTGTTATTTGCAATATTAGTAGCGTAAAGATTAAATATTGTAACATTTATTTATTTTAAAATAAAATAAACATAATTGTATAGTAATATATTYGTTCACTAAATATCCCCACTTTTTACCACCTCTATCAATTTTTTTAATAGATAGGTCAAATATGCGAATAATAAATAAAAAAAATATCACAATATAATTATCGCTCGTTAAATAAATTTATTTATTCCTATTTTAATGTACACCAATTAAAAAAAAAGTTAAGATAAAACATTTGATTTGTGTAATTATAATAAACTTACGAATTATTTTTATTTGAATACTTTACACTATTTCGGTTACTCGAAAGAAAAAACAATTATTATAATTGTCATATTCAATATTATAATAATTACTGTTATGTTAAAACCATTACGCATCTTATAATAATATAATTTCATCGATAAAACCGGAAATATGTATTCATCTAAATTATGTTTTAACAATTATAAAAACGCCGAGTTTATGATTTTTATTATCGGCTGACCTTCTTGTTTCTCGAAAATTAACAATAATTGAATAATCAATATCTACGYACTACGAATTGTCCACGATGTGAGATTAACAGATTACATATACAAAAATTAAAGTGACTATATTTTTGGTGCCCCAGGGAGCTCGACTTAGATTAAGCGCAGAGTCGATGATAGGAGGTGTATGRAAAGGAGAATGTGTTGTGACACCCCACTAAGGTTGGTAATTTTATTTTCTAATAAGGAATTTAACGATTTTATTTTCAAGTCAGCGAAAATAATAATTTTTATGTTTATTTCTTTTTAATTGTTTTATTTCATTATTA